TTTATAACGCGACCTGGTGGGGGGGCTATTTTTTGCCCCCCCCCCCTCGTATCTCCGAAACTACTGGACGGATCCGCAAAATTCAAACGGCGTTCGAAAGGCCTGTCAAATTTGTCGAGGAACACCAAATTTCATTGACCTCGGGGTCACCGATGACGTCACAGGTCAGGTCAAAGATGAAATGTTTCACCGTTCACGGGGCTTCTAGGGAATGCGCTATAACACCGAGGAAAACGCATTTTGTCGAGAATCAGCGGTAGGGCGTCAGTTGCCTAGTAGATATGTTTCTATTAGAGGTCACTGGCAATACCAGGTCAGGTCACAGGTCAGGTCACCAAGGGTCACAGGTCAGGTCACATGAGCCCAACTTTACTAAGGTTGTGTGATGCATGTTTTATGGCCAATTTTTCATTTCCAACTCAATGGTGTTGGTTATAAGACTATCAGGTACGGCTTAGGTTAGTTTCTGGTGAAGTTGAGGTCAAGGTCAGGTCAAGGTCAGGCCAAAAAGGTCAAATTTTAAAGTTGATAGTTTTGCATAAAATGGGTATTGATTCGATGCAGCTCGTCACGGGGAGTCTAATGGTGGTCTTTGTTTTGCGCTACGGGGTCTAGAATTGCTAAAAATTGAGTTTGAAAATTTGACGTCATCAATTTTGAACAGTTTTTTCGCTATAACTTCGCCAAAAAAAGAGGTATCAATCTAAAATTTGGTATTTGGATGGAAGGCGGTAAGGACTATCACATATATTCCGGTTTTTGCGAAATTCAAAAAACTTTTTGGATTTTTCGATTATTATATTCAAAAAATATATTTTTTGATTTTTGAGGGTCAAAATCCAAAAATTTCAAAAATCCGAGACAGCAGTTTTGTAGCCCTGTCTAATCTACAGCTTTTATGTCTTTATCATTTTTCTGTATTTGCAAAGCTATAGGCCTGACAGCTCTTCCCGCGAAACCCTTTTTTGGGTCGAAAACGGCAGAACATGACGTCACTCTGACGTCATTTCCGGCCAACCTATCATAGCCTTTGGAAAAAAAAATTTGGTCACAATGTGTAAAATTGATGTCCGGGAGGGTACTGAAAGTTTGGTGACGATCGGCGCAGCGGTTCTGGAGATATATCGAAAAGTCTGGAGGGGGGGGGGGGCAAAAATAGCCCCCCCCCCACCAGGTCGCGGGTTAAAGGTAGTGTGCCAGCTTTCCTGGACCATATGGAGTTAATGACCCGGATAAGGAGAACCGGATTTTTAGAACTCATCCATACCTTCAAAACCCATGGAAACGTCTTAAATTCTTCAAATTTTGAGCACCCCAGTGCGAAATTCGCCCCGACGGGTTGTCGGTCGTACCCCAACCACATTTCACACCACTATGAACAATAAATGCACACACCAAAATCGCTATTACCGATAGGCTCATACAATCAAGTTTCGATAAACCCGTTCATCATCATCTCCTGCGGTTTCGAACACGCCTGTTAGGTGGTGCGGTAGACCGCACCCAAAGCCAGGGCCCCGGTAATGTGAGGTAGCCGAGTCGGGGTAGCGTGCGCTGACCCAAGCCGGGGCCGCGCGTCCTCCCGGTGTCATGTGATAGCCCGGGGCTGCCCGCGGGGATGCGGTAGACCGCGCCCAAAGCCGCGGCCCCGGCTTGGGTCAGCGCACGCTGCCCCGACTCGGCTACCTCACGTTACCGGGGCCCTGGCTTTGGGCGCGGCTTCTGCTCATACTTTGTGGTGCGGTGGTGGTGCGTCGGGCCGCGCGCTCTGACTTCGGCCAAGAAAAATGCGTCAGCTGATCATTGTCATTTCTGCCACTTTCGTGTGGTGAAATGAGGTCATAATTTAAGAGACGGCTGCTTTATATCAATTATTTTACATAAAATCATATTTCAAACTATAAATTAATGTACGACAGCCAAATTAAAGAAACAATACCAATACAGGCTTACAGTTTAGTCAGACATTGTGTTGTCTACAATTAGACAGCTGATAACTCATTCCCGTACGTCGTAACTCTATAATGACCTTTGCTTATTGTCACATGTGCGCCGCATTCGCGTTTGTTGCCGACGCCTGTTTGCAATTCAGCCCGCCCACTACAGTTTATACATATCGAAAAACCGATAAACTTTTAGGCAAAAAAAAACGCTATTCCGGGCCCATTTTTGAATTTTTTTTTGCGATATTAGGTAAAAACAGAAGCTTCTTATCCTAGGAAAAATAAAATGGGAAATCTTTCAAAGGTAGCACACTACCTTTAATCAATGCGAGGGTACTGAAAGTTTCGTCGCTCTCGGCCGCTTTTTACGCGAGTTATTCGCAAAAAAAAACCTTAAGGGGGTTGCATCAACCCCCCCTGTGCCGGCGAGGTAAAACTGAGGACCTGAGAAGGTAAAACTGGGTATCATTGGATTTGTCTCTTCCCAAAGAATCTTTTTGATCTTTACCGCGAAGCTCTAGCTCCAACAGGAACGAAATGGCGCGGGGGTGGCAATCCCCCCCCCCCCCCCATGTGCGTCCTAGGATGGGAAAATGGCATGTGCGGGCGAGGGTTAATGAATTTGCATGAAAGTGATGTCGCTTGGTTCAGAAAGAGCGAAAACAAATATCTGCCAAATTTCATCGAAAAATATTCACCGGTTTTCAAGATGTTAGACTTTTACTTTTGTTTAGGTACTTTTTGAGATCTCCGCTGTTCCTAGCGACTTTAGTTGAAAGCGCGGCACTTGTTGCTCGCAAAGCAGCATATACCACCGCGTGCTACGAAACAGTTAAGAAAACAATTTAAATCGTTAGCTCTGCGCTGACGTGCGTCACACATTCAGAGGGGGCATTCTAATGCATTAGCCCCTCTGAATCCAAGTGCTACAACTTTGAAATTATTTATTTTCGATTTGAGGCATTTCTCGATCTTGTGAGTGCTCAAACCGGTAAGTGCAAGCCAGGGACCCCATTTTGGCTATCTGAACTCAAAACTAATGTTAAGGTGGGATGGTCACTTTAACCCTCGCCGGACCTATTGGTTTTCTACATACGCGCCGGCCGAGGGGGGGGGGGGGGCGGGTACGACCCCCCCCCCTCGCCGTTTCGCCCCTGGTGGAGCTAGCGCGTCGCGGAAAAAACGAGCGTGTGCGCCGTTACGAGACGCAGAGATTGGTACCCGATTTTAAGGTCCCAGGTCAACCGGTGACCTCTGAGGTCAGGTCAAGTGCCCCAAGGTACGGTTCAGTTTTTGGTGAATAACTTCGCAAAAAACGGCCGCAGAGCGCCGATTTTGGCAGCATCGTGTTTGTCTCGCTCAGGCGCGTCGAATGATATACTTTTTGTCTGGGTCAGGTCAATTTGGGGTGTTGACCTCAGGTCAAGGTCAGGTCAGCACCCCCAGGTCACGAAGTTGGTCGAAAGAGGTCATGTCGCATATCATTCGATTCGGCAGGTCTTCCTGAGTCCATTGGTGGCTTTCCCGACTCGCTAGCTCAATTTGATCAAGAGCTATTGACGAAAAACTAATATGACCTTGATGACGTCATAAATGACGTCACGCAAGGTCAACATTGCAAAAGTGACGCATCTAACCTTGCAAGGAGTGCATCAAATCACGATTCTGTGTGCTTGAGATAGTTGGAGATCGTTCCCGGCGCCAGAATAGCAGTTTGAATTTTTCCCCATTGACTTATAATGGTGAGGTCACGAAAATGACCTGACCTCATATGACCTTTAGGAAAAATCCGAGATATACAAGTTGTGGGACTCATAATGGATACTAGATCCTGCAAGTTTCATTTCCCTGTGACATCTCCTCTGGCAGTGAGGGCGTTGCGAAGTTGCGACATCTGAAGACCGTGCAGAGGTTCACTTATGACGTCATAGGTCAGTGACCTGACCTGACCCAAAAATGCGGTTGGTGTCAAAAGATGCGGCTTGGATCAAAGGTCAGGTATGCCAAGTTTCAGCTCTCTATCGCCAGCGTGTTCGGAGCTATCGCGAAAAAACCCTATGGGGGGCGGCACCCGCCCCCCCCCCTCGGCCGGCGAGGGTTAAAAGTCATCCCAGTGCTCCCTGTTTCCCAATTATTCCCGCTCTCTTCATCATGGGGCCACTATCCACGCTATACATAGTCCGCACCGAAAATTGTCACTTCGCTTATCTCTGCAATGTACCTACGGCGGATGGAACGTTAGAAATGTTATTGATGAAACTTTGGTCTTTATTCTGTGTCCATCACCCGTTTTTAATTTTTTGACTTATAGGTATGCACCTAGTGGCGGACTGTCAGACAATGAGTTCGATTTGTTGCATCGGTTAATGGTGTCTACGACTCCTACAATCTACGCATATCGACCAGCTTTTTCAATAAACTAGCATTTCCAGTTGCCAGAAGCAACTTGGCAACTTGCCGTTTCGGTGTTCACTGATATTATGATAACCATGACCCTCCAGTCCCTCTCTAGACTCTATAGTCCCTCCCTCCCCTCTTCTTTCTCTCCCTCTTTCGACAACTGTGCCTACTCATTCGCACACAGTCCTGCCATCCCTTCCGACAAATTAAAACTCCTATTGGCCGGGACCGCCAGGGACGCCCCAGCGCCGGCAGCACGCATGCCATTCCCCCGTGCGCCCGGGCCCCTAATCGCCGGCCACGTCCATCGGACCCGGGCGTCCCCTCAATTACCAGCGGGCACGCCGGCCGACCAGCCCCGACCGTTGGGTCGGGCCGCGTCCCCCGTCCGTCCGCTCCGCGCTCTACCCGCTGGCCGCCGCACAAAAGGCAGGCTCTCTCCGCTCTCCCCCTCTCTCCGCCGCCGCCGCCGGCCCGGCGTAATTATAATCGACCCTCCGAAACGCTAAAACGAATTTCCCCGGCCTTGGGTAGCAGGCGGCAGAGCCGGTTGTGCGCGCCGCTGCGAGGGGGAGCCTCATCCGGGAACTTGAGTCACGTGACCGCCGGGGGGATCCGGCGGCTGCTGGCCGCGCGCAGAGCAGCGTTTTTCACGGCGCGTGTGGGGTGGTGCGGCCAGTGGCTCCTCCGTTTCGTGTGATTCCTCGGTAAATGGGACAGCTACAGGGAAGATAATTTACGGTGAGTACAATTTTCATACGCTGAATTCACTGGTGAAATCACTTTTCCGATATCTCGTCGCGTTCTGGAGTTATTTGCCTTGTCCGGTGTTGCGTTATTTATTGGACAGCCCCGACGCGGCGCCGTCGGCCGGCTCGCGCATGCGCAGTGGACGTGTTTACATGTGGCTGCTTTGTTTCGGTGCGTCAGCGACGGTGCCGGCCGACGACCAATGGCACGGGCCGGCGGCGTGGTGCCGCGGGGCGACGGTGGGGGGGGGGGGGGGGGGGGTTAGGGGGGGACAGGCGCCCGGGGCGATGACTGGTGGGGGCGTCGTGCCGGGGGTATCGGCGATATCTGCCTCCCCCTGACCTCGCGACGACAGCCGAGATTATGTGGTAGGGACGGAAAACTCCAGGGATTGGGCACTGTCATGCATCTGATGCTGCTTTTCTTTTCTGTTTACGTTAGAGCTGGCTCGTATCAGGTAGGGCGCCTCGTTTGTGTGACTCTTGGGTGTAACGTTGACATTCTCATTATTTATTGCCCCGAACGCACCCTTGGTTCGTGTGTCGGCCGGGGCGGGAGTGGGACACATTCCCCGTGCTGTGCCGGACCCCCCCCCCCCCATCGATTCGAGCACAAAATTTGTCCTAGGGGGGGGGTCAACCTGCCAACCAACTCAGAGAAAATGAATGAGTGGACACTAGGCGAAAGAAAAACGGAATTCCCTGATTCTCCGAACAATTTTACGGATATTGATATTTACAGCGGCATTGCTGTAAAAATGATGCCGAAACCGGGACTCTTTATGGTCTCAAGAGTCGGGACCAGATGTCAGCAGTAGCGGCGGAACACCTTCAATTAAGGGGGGGGGGCACTGCCGACTTTTGGTCCCATTCTTTCCATGCAACGCCCATAGGGCTAATGTTAAAATGCCAAAATCAAAGGGGGGCACGGTGCCCCGGTGCCCTCCCCGTTCCGCCGCCTATGGATGTCAGGAGACTACTAGATCCAGATGAAACACATGTAGCTTAGATTAGAATCTGCGCGTCGTCCCGGTATTGCATAGACTAACTAACTACCTATAGGAATGGATTGGCTTAGGCTACATAGCATTTTAAATCTGTTTAAAGAATAACAGTGAAGGGCTAAAAAAGGGATAGGTAATGTGTCCCGTAGCATTGCGGTTGGAGGACAGCGTTTCACCTGTTCGGTTACTCTGCGGCTTGGACCATGGAGAAGGCTTCGTTCCCTTTCTTTATTATTTGATTTGTTATGCTTTCTTGTCGAGGCATTCCTCTTTCCTCGGTTTAGGTTGAAAGTGTCCCGCGCTCATATACCTACCTACAGTCTACACGTAGGTATAATTGCCGAGCTGAATGCCATTGCGATTATATTTTTTTTTCGCTAAGCAATTGTTTTTATTTTGTTGCTTGCATTTACTGACACATTTGAGGCAGTGAAGTTTTTTACTGTAGGTTGTCCTTCAGTCCCACAGTCCACACTCCACACCTTTTGAAGGGTGATGATGCTGGATGCCAGCAGCGAGATAATCGGTAGATAATCCCTCGGAGACACACGACTCTGTCAACGTTTTACGATGCTACAATAGGCTGCAATATTTTAATTAATTTTACGGAAAAATTATGCTCCTATCACCCGGTCGTAGTGCATCATGTAGGTATTTTATATATGTGGCAACCTTGTCAATCACGCTATCTCATACCGTTTCCTCTTTGGATCTCGATCACTCTCCACCTCAGTCTTACCTCATCCTTCTGCAATGCTAAGCGCTGCTTCCTGTGTTATGGAGACGTCTGCTGGCCCTAAATACAGCGTGGCTATCGCCGCTCATCCGCGGTCAGCGTGTCAGTAATTACTGCGGGTGACCCGGCAGCTGACTGCTTCTCGATAAATCACGGCAGACATCTACCTCTCGGTCCGTCCCAGCCGGCCGGCGTGGCGGTCTTCTGGCCAGAGAGCCGGCCGCAGGTGTGCTGGTGGTCAGCGGCACACTCCGCGCTGTTGCAGTGTTGTACGATGCCGTGTCCCCCTGCTGCACCGTTAAATGATGCCGCCACCCCACTGTAGGCCGGCAGCCTGAAAAAGCGCTAGAAATTCCCCCAAACTGACTGTCCGCAATATGAACAAAATAGGTATCATTTAATCCCAAATTGATCGAAGAATACGATTCCGATGCTAGTTTTGCCCTAAGGTCAAAATTGAGGTCGTCAGTTGTCACCAAACACAAGACAATTTAGACTCTCTATAGGCCACCACATTTACCGATTTTAATGATGAACTTTAGTGGTAATTTATTAGTTGACCAATCGTCGTTTTGAACGAAATTTCCTGTCAGACTAGTTCAGGGAACTGTTGTTCACTGTGCCAACATCATTCTGACATATTGCATCGCTTTTCTGCAAGATAAGCTAGCTGTTTGCAAGCAGCTGCAAGACGTAATTTAAAATCATATCCAATTTTTCAATTAGACTTTTATAAAAACGTTATTTCGAGCAGCTAAAAATGAACATTTCATACTAGCCTCTGATTACTCATCTTTTGTTCCATATAGGTGCTTTGCTGCTTTTCCCTGCTACTTTTCGAGATATGCGCCAGTAAACCACATGATGTAGGGGCAATTGTCACCTCGCCGCTCTACTGAAGGCCCGGCGCTCTTTAAAACGCTGGAAGTTGTGAAAAACAAATGCTTATAATCTAAATGAAATATATGTCCCTGAGCTCAGAATTGATCAACGCACACAATGCTGTCAACATTTCTGGGCCAAACTAAAAAAATCAGTCATTATTAACCCCTAAACACAAGTCAGTGATAATCAACAACAACTTGCTCTTTAGTTAGACTTTTTGAGAAATGTTATTTCGAGCCGTTAAAAATGGCCATGCCATACAAACCACCAATCATCTTTCTGTCATGCCCTACTCGCAATTTTTGCTAATGCCTGCTACTCTTCGAGGTCACGTGACCTCACCATTAAAAGTGAATGGGGAAATAAGGAAACTGTTGTTTTTGCGCATGGAATGATTTCAAACTATCTCAAGCACACGGAATCGTGATTTCGTGCACTCCTTGCAAGATCCGATGCTTTACTTTTGCATTTTTGACCTTCCGTGACGTCATTTATGACGTCACACCGCCACCGGTCATAGGAGTTTCTCGTCAATAACTCATGATCAAATTGAGCCAGCGACTCGGGAAAGCCACCAATGGACTCGGGAAGACCTCCCGAATCGAATGATATGCGATACGACCTCCTTCGATTAAGTTCGTGGCCTGATGGGCTCTGAACTGACCTTGACTCGAGGTCAATACCTTAAGTTGACCTCACCCGAACAAAAAGTATACCATTCGACGCGCCTGAGCCAGACGAACACGATGGTGCCAAAATCGCTGCTCTGCGGCCATTTTTTGCGAAATTATTTGCCAAAAACCAAACCCTACCTTGGGCTTTTTGACATCACCTCAGAGGTTACCGGTTGACCTGGAACCTTAAAATCGGGTAGCAATCGTTCCGCCTTGAAACGGCGCACACGCTTGTTTTTTTCCGCGAGGCTCTAGCTCCATTAGGGGCGAAACGGCAAAAAGGGGTCGTACCAACCCTCCCCCCCTCGGCCGGCCGAGGGGTGGGGGGTCCGACAATAGGTCCGGCGAGGGTTAAGCAGCCCCACTTCGTTTTTAGCATGTTTGCTTGTCACTGAGATCAACAACTCAATCACAAATAATTTCTAGCACTTTTCCGGACCCCCGGCCCAGTGTGCACCCGCGCCGCTACGTGGTTGGTGTGATCTCGGTAGGCAGACCGCTGTGGAGCTCGCTGCTTCTCAGTTCTCTTCGCAGTTTATTTATAGTGTTTTAAACCGATTTTACTTTATTCCGATGTACGTTTTGTATGTATGTAAACGACGTGGTAACCATAAAACCCATGTAATGGAGGTACCTAATAAACTGTATGCATGTATGTATGTATGTATGTATGTATGTATGTATGTATGTATGTATGTATGTATGTATGTAAGAGGCTGCGACTGGATGCAGTGATCGCGAAGTGCCGTTGTTGACGAACAAAAATGCAGTATAATTCTCGCACAGGAGACGTGGGAAAGAACTGACTGTTCTCCCGTCAATCATCGATTACTTATCATTTTCCTCCAAGAAGAATTGATCACGCCGGATGCTGCATTAGTCTGTACGTACTAAACGCAGGCAGCAAGTCCATTCAGGCGACGAACATCTCACCCCTTGCCCCCGGTACGGTACCCCACTGACGTGTCTCTGCTCCTCTACCGCAGTAATCGGCGCGGTGCGTCGCTGACCACTGCTCACGATGGAGCGGGCGCGCCGTCTGCAGATCCGCCAGCTGGGCCCCGAGCTCACCTGTCACCTGTGTCACGGATACTTCGTCGACGCCTTCACCGTCGTCGAGTGCCTACACTCGTGTAAGTACGACCCCGGAGATAAATTAGACCACGTGGAAGTAGATGCTTTCTTTACGTTTTCGGGTTGTTGTCAGTTGAAAGAAGGAGGAGATAGATGGGTTCATTTAAAGGTGTATTCTAATGATGCCTGATTCTCATTTATACTTCTGTAAGATACGTTTTGTATGCTATCGCAGGTCGTTCACGTTATTTTGCCAACGTTCGAGACATGTCCCATTGTCCAGTTCCACCCGAATTGATTGCTAATGCTGACGGCTCCTTTCTATGTGTTTCAGTTTGCAAGTCGTGCATCATGGACCACGTTAAGAAGTCATGCGACTGTCCAAAGTGCGGCACCCAGCTGAACAAGGCGCGACTCACCTCGGCACTCAGGTACCGTCAATCACCGATTGCCGATGGTAGCCCCGAGAGCTGGCGAAAAGGGAAGGGGACACTGAGAGAGAAGGGCTCATCTTTGGGCATTGAAGAAAGAGTGAAGGAGCCGCATTGGGCAGGGAAGGGGATGTGCAGCGCTTGGGTAATGACAGCTGCATTCAAAGATATGTTTGCCTTCAAACCAACTCAACTGCTTACTGTGTTGATAACATCACGAATTATTATTTTTATTTTGAATTTTGAATTTTTTTCGTTGTGTTCATTTTTCACACTTGCTTCTATCGATGTATTGCAAAGGCGGCATATTGTGTCAGCTGCATGGAAATGGCTTCTTTCACCATAACGATGTTGGTTTGTAACTGCGATGGCTGCTTTTGCTTAAGTGCTGTTGGTTTCACTGGTAAACGCGGAAGACATGTATAATCCCAAAACCAGTTCATGAGCAATACCAAGGCATATGCTATGCATGCTCCGTAACTTGGCGAACAGACCTGCAACACCAGTCTCTATTGTGGTGGGCATTGATCGGTTGATTTAAATCATACTAGTTACGTAAGTCTCCAAGTATCGAGGTCAAATTATTATTATGGTTGTCGTTTTTTTTGCTCGCGACCACAGGACTGACCCGGCACACTTTTCTTGCCTCCTATAGAGTCCCACACAGTGTGCATGGTGTCGCTGTTCCATAGATGGAATTACAGCTTATCTGCGACAGCCGAGGCGAGAACCAATTATCAGTCAGCAAAAAGACTCGTCCCCCTCGTCCCCCCGCGACATAGTGACACGCACGGTCCAGGCGCTGACCTGCGGCACGCTGATGACGGCCAGAGCACAGCACGCTAGACAGACTGGGCCGCGGTGCTTTTTTGCGATACTTTTTGCGGGTGACTGGGAGACCAACCGGTATTTTGTCTTCTGCCAGCCTCCATATTTGTTTTTGGCGCCAGTGAGTTGGCGCCGTTTTCTTGTGGGTCCGCGCTGTCGAGCTTGTTCCGAGGGGAGAAAGGTCAGAGTGAGTCGATCAGTGAAATAATGTGGGAGGCGGGAAGACGTAGTGAACGTAACGTGGAAGGCGGCTCCGCAGAACGCTACGCAAAAACGTGACGAATTCACCTGGACGTTTAAATCATCGGTTGGTTGGCAACCGTCGAAAAATAGAGTGAGGAAAGGAGTAAATATGAGCTGTTACTGAGTGAGTTGGGTCGCATCGGCCAGCCTGCATCTAGTGACTGGCCGCAAATCCGGTGACTGGTGATCAGTATTGCACATTTTGGCTGATGATGCCGATCACCAGCCTTGCACTGCACCATCACCAGGTGCGGACCTCGTGAGTGACCCACCGGACAGCCGGGAATGGCTCCACGACCTATCCATCCAGCAGCCCATCCAGCGCGGCGGCCCATCCCGCGGCTGGTCGGTCGGTGTGGGTCAGTGACGATTTCACCGCCTCTGAACCGGGCCACGCGACACTCGAGCTCCAGCGGTCCGGAAACCCGCCGTCGCCGGACTCCGGCCACCGCGCCGTGACGCCGCCCACTCCCCTCTGGCTCGCGAGCGCGAGCGCGCCGGCCGCGCCGCTTTAATCACGGGACTCGGGGGAGTGCCGTCTATCAGTCCGGTTTAATCGTTTAATGGATACGCTAAGGCTGTTAAAATGCGCGGAAGTAGGTGGATGTGCCGAGTGGGACGAGAAGATGCTCGTTTCCTGATGTCGTTCTTCCGCCCGGATGAGATGTTTGTTGCGCCGTGGGTGATTTGTGGGCGGTTTTATTTGGCCGTTTTGATTAAAGGAACATTCTCACATTTTTAAGGGAATGACATGTCGTGTAGTTTTATCTTTGGATCATAATTGCGAGGTCCGTTGCTTTCCCCAGTAGTTATAAAACGGTCGCCAGACCTAAAGCTGCTTGAAATTATAGAGACGGTCTTGATATACTTCACATTTCGAAATTATTATCTATAATGGTATATGCCTTTCGCCTTCTGCTCTTTTTAACCGTGCATTCATATACCTTTTTATGACACTTTTTCAATAACCTGAGACGGTGAATGTCATAGATCTCCTCAGATATGTCGGAACTACTGCCCTCGCGCAATTGATAAAAAAAGAAAAAGATGGAGGCACGAGCCAGCGCTTTTCCTCGCGGTGGAAAGCGCGGAGCAGCTTATGGTTGCTGTGAGGATTCGTGTTTATCTCTGAGAGGTCAGCTATCCCGAGAGAGCCTCCCAAACGTCAGCCTTATGCTTATCCAGCTCGGCGAACTGGTTTGCATGAGCGCCATCGCCTGTCGCGCCGGTGAGCAGCTGTTTTTCCTGTCTCGGCCCGAACCCGCCGAGCGTGGCCCGTCGGCGAGTGCCTTATGACCACCGCCCGGTCGCCGCATGTAACCGAGCGGAGCGCCGCGCTGGTGACGGCGGAAACGGCGTCTTGTCGCGGCTTTGTCGCACCGTAATTACAACGGCGCTGTCTTCGTTAGTATCGCGTGTTGGCCACCGTGCAAAAACCGATCACGGCCGGCCGGCCGGCGGCTGACGGCCCGGCCGGTCCGCCGGCCCGTCCGGCTGGCTGGCACGGCGTCCCTGGTCCTCGCAGTCCCTTGTCTCGCGTCTCTCGCCACCTTCGGGACGCGCTGGCCGGGTGGCGGCGGATCGGGTGACCGGGACCGAGGCCCAGTGACCGACCGACCACCTGTAGGCGGGAACGGTAGTAGCGGCGGGCAGCGGCGGACAGGGACGGCTACCGCCCGCCCCACTGCGTCACCGTGCGGAACTGGCGGAGGCCATGGCGTGGGGAAGGCCGCGCCGTCCGTCTGACTCGGGTGCGGTTTTTGTTTGCGGTGGCTTTCGTAGGTGTGAGGTGCACGCAATAGTTGATTTTCCCGCTATGTCACGCCACGCGCCGTGAGGAGACGGCGCTGTGTTTTAAATTTTGGCACTACATAAATTTAAAGGGGATATTCCACTTTGAACACGGTACTTTGGACTAAAATAACAGTCAAACTCAACTCAAGGGTCTCGGGGTATCTGGCTGCCGTTTCATCTCGGATGTTGGCTTTGGAAATGTCAATCGTAGAGCGTTCGTGATATCGGAAATTCCGAGATTCATTTCACTTATCGTTATCAGTACCACCCGGAAGACGATATGTCTGATCTCACCTGATTCAGATGTTCGTCCACTCAAACCAACTCCGAGAGGTCGCTGTTCTGACAGCGACCGGCTGTGGTCGGAAACTGGTTTGGTCATGAACTCAATGTAAAGAGAAAGAGGGACGGAAACCAGTTGCACTGTCCCAGCGGCGGAGCGGATTCTGCGGTTTTCGGATTCGGGTGACAGTTGTTAGCTTGTAGCCGAGTTGTCTACGTATCCGCTGCTTGTGTCTGGACGGGCTAGAGCTATCCACTCTCCCTCCAGTCACTGCCGTTCGCTGACGCGCGTGTTCCTTACAGGCCCGACCAGACTCTGCAGTCTGTCGTCTATAAACTGGTGCCGCGACTGTTCAACGAGGAGATGCAGAGACGGCGAGACTTCTACCAGGACCACCCGCAGAGAGGTGAGGGGATATAACTGAGACGCCTTCTCCGAAACTTGAATTGCTGTTCATTACGGGACCGAATGCAGCTCCAATTGGCGAGCCGTCTGGGCTAGCCGCGGATATTATGCATGGGATGCCTATAATGAATGGCAGTAACAGGCGAAGGCTTGATGATAATAGACGAATCAGTCCATATTACTTTGCCTTTGTTAGTGTCTTAATATCATTTCGCTATATGCTCTCGTCCCTACTCTTCCTACGTCCATAACTGTTATATCTACTTACCTGTTCTCGTTCTACAATCTGTTCCGTCTCTGTATGCACTGGCCTGTCACTGTCTGTGCTCTGCCCGTCTTTGTTCTGACCGTCTCTCGTCCATTCGTCTGCCGCAGACCGGAGCCTGTCGCCGGAGCGACGGGGAGACGTCAGCTCCCAGCAATTTGTCTACACCCTCAGCGATCCCATCAGCTTCAGCTTGGAGTTCGCCAGGTAAGTTCAGCCAGATTTGTTCAGACAGTACCTGCTGTCATGAAACTACCAGTGTATGCATGCAGTTACATAATTGGTGTGAGTTTTGCTACTGATATAACTGGTAGTACGCGGGCGCTGCCGCCTTCACTGCATGGAGAAAGTGTTGCCCCTAGACGTGGCTGTGCTGCGTCCCCGCCCTATACCTTTCGTGTTCCGAGGGGGAAGACTGCGCTCCGGTAGCCATTTTGCGGCGGCGTGTACATCCGCCGTTGCACGCTGTCACTGTGCACGGGCGTGTGATAGTGCCACCGACAGTTCGCCTGGAGCGGGCCGACGCCGCGGTAAAAACCGGCAGCTGCCGATCCGCACCGGCGGCAGATCGCTATCGCGGCCCTGAATTCCAGTAGATGGACTGCAGCAGGTCGCCGCTGCACCCGGACTCGGTTTTCAGGGTTCTGCCTCACTGCTGGGTGGTATTACTCGAGTCGGTGATAAGTATCGATGATATGTGTCCGTTCTTAGTTCTTTCCTGCTACATCGCGCCAATGACTTCGGTACTAATTGTTAATGTTATCTAGCGTAATTAGACTCGTGTTATATTTGCCGGTCGGTCACTTAGTTATGGCGGTCAGCTGGTTCAGGCTGGTTAAAACAATATAGGAAAAAGGAACATTATTCAGTTCTGCTACAAAACTCTTAAGAGTATTACAGTGTTAGCGATCCTCTCCTTTCACTGCACTGCCGCGTTGCCCGCACAGGTGTTTTTTCGGACAGAGGCGAAAAGAAGACAAGCTCCATGTTCACGTGATACCATTCCAGCCAAGGCCGTATTCGGTAGACAATAGGGGCACTCCTCAACGTTGGAACGAGGAATTAAGACCCTCCGCGATGACCGAAAAGAAGAGCTAGTTTTCGAAGAAGAAAAAAAACGACTAATGAGGAACTAGAAACACCACAAATGGCATGTTAGTTGCCGCTCAACTAGGCGTGCTTCAAACCTGCCAGTTTGTTTGTTAAGAGAACTTAGCTTATGAGCAAAGTTAAATTGAGCCAAAATTATCGAGAATGTATGAAGAACAGGACGCTAGCGACGCTCATCGAGAAAGGTCAGAAGGCCATCGACGCATACGGCGTCAGAATGCTCCACTCTTCGGCCAATAGCTCCCTCATGCCACATTCTCATCGATCTGATGTGAGCTCCTCCGGAGTCCATTCCGCTCCTAGTCCGCCCCTCTGGACTGGCGCCGGGCGGGGAGCGCGTGCCTTCATTTGGCTTCTAATTCCTCCAATTGTCGCTGTGTCGTCGGTGCGGGGCGCGCCCCAAAGTGCAGAACGTGACTGAACGGGAGCGGAAATGAGACTCCGGGGACGGCCCCGTCACTGGGCCCGCGGGTCGAACAGCGCCCGGCACCACTGAAAATCAATGCACGAATCAGGTGCGTGTATTGAGCAACAATGGCAGCGTGCCTGCGGACAAACGCTCCCGGTAAATATTATTTGTAAAGCCGATGGTTGAACTGCAAAAGAGTTCCATGAAATCCTTCACTTCCGTCAAGAATAGCAATATTATGTACTAGCTTCTACTCTCTGTGTTGTCAATGCATTTGTGTATATTCGTGTATTCGTGTGGTGTGGGTGCAGCCCACCGCTAAAGTAATGTGCGGTTTTACCAATCTCAATGGATGGCTTTGACTGGCGATTTTTTAATGCGGAGTGATCGAAAAGAAGACGTCAATGTTAGTTCAAGCTGCAATGGTGACGATACATGTAAGCAACATTTACAGTTTCATTGTAGTCTGGTTAATCGCCCCTATGCTTTAGAAGCACAACATACCCATGACTGAAACCGCAGGTTATGGCGGAGAGCAGTCAGCGAACGTCTATCCTCATTTCGCTTCATATTACCCCTCTCTTGGCTGTTTAATGTTTATGCGTTCCCACACGACGCGCACTAATCGCTGTGAGAACAGTGATTAATTGTGACCGATCGCCCGGACGCTGAAGCCTGAAGGATTTTACTTTCCGCGCAGGGTGGGCCCAAGGCCCAAAGTAATGGGAAAACTAGAGGTTCTTGTTTACCGGTATTGGGTAATGCACATTGAAAATGCCGCACCTTGAAGCTCATGTTTAAAGCAAAAAAGGAAACGTTTTCTCACTCGGTGGACTGAAGTGAAGTTATTGCTGGGTAATGGGCATGGAAGGTAAACTTTCCCGCGGCTAAGAAGTCAAACTGGTATTCATTTTACCCCCGTGTAAAAATTTCCCACATTTTTTCCCTATCGAAAATTCTTGGCTCATCCGTCTTTATTGTTGTTTGCGTATTTCTTTGGCGAAGCCTATTGTTTTTCTTCAAGATATTATCGGGCTTTCAACCTATAAGCCATGGCTATGACGATGGCCAACATAGAAACGGTTAGCTGCGTTCACTCGCGATGAGATGAAATATTTATGAGTGGGAAATTGGACACGTAAATGTGCCCCCTGAACAAAATGTCGATAAATAACTGCCGCGTCACAGCTGCCCTTTGGACAGCTCTCTGTCAGTCGACCACCCTCGCTCTCGCCGGATATCATTCATCTACCCCCTCACTAATTGCTTTCCACCCTGCTTGTTAACGGGCCGTGTCTCGATTTTTACCCATGCGACTGTCGGTCCGTCCACGCTGTGTAACTGGGTGGCAAACACATCACGATTCAGCTGTGGGCATTTTTACCCCCTGGTAGTCCCTCGGCAGGTGCCGGCAGGACCCTCAGGTATGAGCACGTCCTGGCACATCCTACCACAAGGACCCCCTCCCCTCTCCACGCGGCGACACCACAGAGAGCAGGTCACGTGACCGTCCCGGGCGCGCGCGCCATTCGCGCGCCATTCACCCGCCAATGCAGCCGACAGCCACCTGGCCTCTATCGCGCCGCTCCGAAGGGACGCCGCCGCTATGGCGCGTAATTTTGGCGCCACTCTCGGCAGCGGGGGGGGGGGGGCGGGTCGGTGTTTGTATGGAGCTCGCGGCCCGGGGCCGGGATGCGGCAATCAATCGCCGCCGTCGGCCAGGCCGTGACGTCACGTTTTTGCCCCGCCGCACTCCCGGGCCGCGTATTCGCCAATTGTATTACACGAATCGGCCCATCAACTAGCGACATCTCTAGTGCGACGTCATAGCCATCCGCCGCGACAATGCATACATTGAGGCTAGATTTGAGTTGAGACTATTTTTGCATTGTATATGGCTATCAGACATGTAAGTGTCGCCGTAGCCGAGTGGTTAGAGTCTCGGTGTGATGGACGACAGGTCGGTGGATCGATTCTTGCTTCAGCGGTTCTTTTCTCTTAAAAAAAGTCGGTCGTAGACGCGCATTTTTGGCCCCTACGTTCGCACGCCAATATCGTACGCCCAATAAATCTCTGACAAGTGTTCATCTGATTAAGGAATAAGTTGCAAAAGAACTGCAGTTGCAGTCTATACCTGAACTACCAATTTTGTTACGGCACTGTCGATATTCGTCAAAGTCGGAAGAGCTATTATGAAACACACTCGAATGACAACGGATTCCTGTATTATTTCATCGATCAGATAAGACATGTATAGAGATAAATTGATGACAGCCCGCCGTGAGCATGCAACTTAACAACCAGTCCCAAGTTATCTTCATAAACGTCTAATATAAATCTTTTGACTTTAACTAGATTCCAAGTAAGAGGACTTAGGTATCCCCCTGGCGGCTGAAATGTAAAAGTTATAGTTAGGGCATAGCTCCTATAGATGACGCTCTGACGGCTGGAAACTGATTATCTCGTCCCGTGATTACGCTAACAGCTATGCCGAACTTTTTTGTGCATGGTGATTCTTACACGAAAAGCTATCTAATAGCCTGCTTACCAGCGTGCGATTTTTACTTTTCATCTTAGGTTTCGCTACTTTTAGGTACTTTACCTTGCCAAGTGCCCACCTACTTTCAAAAGGTCAGCGCCGCCCCTGTCAATGCTGCGTGCTATCACCCATTGGCAGTGAGAAATATTGATCAATGAATGGCCATCGCCCAGCACCATTTGTCTTTCCATTGGCTACGTTCGCATAGTATGCACTATGCATTAGTGATGTCAATCACAGAAAATCAGAACACCGCTACCAAACCAACTACAAACAAAGACCATTGGAAAATACCGAAACCGAACCAATCGGTTGGACTGCAACTATCTATCTTATGCAACATATTCATTAGAAGAATGCCTACGTCTGATTTCTTAGGTGCACGCCGTTACAAATGTATAAAAAACGCACAATGACAGATGACACGAAAATCGAAGTCGCCGAGTGGATTCGAACCACCTACCTCTGAATCACCAGTCCGATACTCTAACCACTTCGCCACGGCGATAATGTACCCCACGTAGCTTAAATGTCAATAATTTAAAACCTAGCTTCAATAGACGCCACCAGGGCGAGGACCGAAAGTATGACGCCACGTTGACGTCACTCAGGAGGCAAGCTATTGGTTGGCCGGTTCGTGTAATACAATTGGCGAATACGCTCCCGGGCCGACCGTGGCGCGGTTTTTTGGCGCGCGCTTTCCGGCTGTGACGTCACGCAGGGGGCGTTCCGCTCCGATGCGCACTGTGGTTCCAAAAGGCAGGTGTGTCGGGAAAAATTAGTGACATTTTTTTGTGAGTGAAGTGAATGCTGGGTGATATTCTCGGATGTCTTTTGCAGATAAATCTATATTCGATTTACTCGTAGGGTAGCCGTCGAGCCGATGACGGCTTTTGTAGACAAAGCTTTAGTCTATTGATCCAGCATTGACAATTTGATTGTTATGATTGCTGTCAGACATGTATGAATGAGCGAATCGGCAGAGTTTTAGATATCTTGCAAGTTGCAAGTTCGCCAGGTTATATGGGTTTATGCCTGAAAATACGCTGAATGAATGCATGGACTTTGTCATGTCGCACAATGATGATAAACAGAAGGGTTGCCGGGTAACGACTGAGATCTGTCATCTGTCACGTCAACTGAACCGTTTAAATTGGGTACACGAGTGTAAAAATCTTGCTGCAAATGCTCGCACGAGTTTGTGTCATAACCAGCCATCGTGGATTTCCTCGGCAATGTGGGATAAAGGTGACCTTCCAGCTCGGAGCAGGGCAAGAGGCGTGGAGGAGAAGTATTTGACTATCTTGAGAATGGAAACAATTGAACGGAGGCACTTCTGGATCCGTCTATACCTAAGCCCAGGAAAATCCTGCAGAGGCCAGCTGGTTATTGCTTTCAGGAAACCTGCAACTACCAGCCACTGTATCCGGTTTTCCGGCAACGTATTGAAAAGTGAAATATCGGATGTGAATTGTCGAATTGCATGCCTGCCTAAAACTGAACGAGAACCTAAGGAAATATCAAACCTTCGGGGGCCGAATTGGCCTCTTCCGACGCTAACACGCTGGATGATCGGACGAATCAAACTGAAAGTGGCTCAAACGCTTTCACATCGTCCCACCAGGCGGCAGGCTGAACTGAACTGAGGATTCTGATGAAAAAGGTGCAAATTTTCCGTGGACTTATCGCCTCACCGACAGCCTAGCCTACCTTCCCGATGTCCTGCGCACGCCCCTGGGCCCTGCGCGCCGTCTCGGGCGGCTACTGACGTCACCAACCTCACCGTTCGACCAGTCGGTCGGGAATTGGCGGCGCCTGTAGAGCATGACCTGACATCTAGCGGAGAGTATTGAAGTAACAGCGACAGGGCTGACCTCTGATGGGAGTTGTTGGAAGATTGCAGCATAGCTTTGGCTGAGGCCTGAAGGGTCAGGGTAGGGTCAGGTCAGGGTTGGGGGCTGGCCTGGCTGGGGGGGCTATTAGCCAGTTCGCATTGGAATGTATAGTGGATGTTAAATGCTGATTTGCAAATGTGTCTCAGTAAAATGTCCCTCATAAATAATAAAAAAAACTAGGCATGACAAACGTGCATTTAGGTTTTAGGCACACTGGTGGTCGGTGGATCCATGGGGGCTAAGGTCTGGGACAACCGTCTTTGCCGTCGGCGTCCTCAGAAGTCAGAATACGCCCATTTGACTCTCATCTCATCCTTGCTGACGGTACAGCAAAACAATAAAAAACACACCTGGGAAATGCCTTTTGGCTCATCATATCACAACAAATATGGCTTCAAGCAGCTAGGCGCCGGTCATGAGCATCGAGCATAGTAGCAGCGCCGAGACGATTCCACGCCACCGGACGGTACGGTGCTGCCATCTATGGGGAGGTACCGCAGTCAGCTGAGTGGGGCGGAGTGGTGACCTTGGTCGACACAGGCCGGCCGGCAGTCTCGATCGAGCGCTGCCGTAGGAGGGCCGCCCGCTCCCTGACGACATGACCGACACACACGCTGTTGAGGTGAGACGCGGGCTGGCTGTGGGCTGCACGAGGGGAGGTTAACGGTGGGGAGTGGGAGCGCGATTTCGTCTGTCGTATCGCATGACATTCGCTTTATTTAGAGGGGAGGGGTTTTTTTGCTAGCGCTCTGCAGTATATTTGTGTTGGAGAAATATCGGTGCGTGGCGTTACGAAATTCGGCAAAGCTTACAACATCGTATTTCATCCCGACTATTTGATCCCGAATCGAATCAACATCATCAACAATCAACGATCGAATCAACATCGTATTTGATCCCGGACCGATAAGGGTCAGGTGCGGCTTATGGCCATCGGTAACTCGTACGGTCATGCTAGCCGTTAGGGTCACAAGCGGTTTTTCGCCAATAAATTTTGATCGAGACATGATAGAGCAAAGAATGTGTTCAGCTTAACAATAGGCTACGGATCGATTGGTGTGCAGCATGATGAATGAATGAATCCCAACCAAATCCCAACATAAATCGTAAGGAAATACCCATAGGTACCGAACCAACTTCATAACATGAGGAAATACCGTCTTTTTACCAATTTATCAGCCTCTTACACATAAGTGAGGGCTCATAATACCAACAATATACCAAGTACATTATGATTGAAATACCAAATACCAAGTTGGTATCGGTTTGTTATCGGTATACCAAAAAGTTGGTATCCGATTGACATCTCTAGTCATGACCTTCGGTCAAATTTTCAGATGTACGTACATACTCCTTTATGACGAATTATCATTCTTTCGATGCGCCTCGCCCATAAAACGCTATCCTTTGAAGCGGATGGATGTTATAAAGAAGGTCATTTTTATTAAAGATGCCATTTTATCATTTTTTATCCTGCAGACATTATAATTCCACAGAAATGTCAAGTTCAGGGTTTTCTTCCTTTGTAGGACAAACCGTTCACCTCCGGTCAATCGATTGCGCTTTTTTTGCAGCGCTTTAGCTCTTTTGGTTCATGTTAGTATTTGTTATCCGTTCACGGCCGCCGGGCCGTCCGGCTGGCCGCCGCTGCTGCAGCGAGCAGCGCTGCGGCGCAGTCTACCTGGCGGGCGCTCGGCCGCGCCGCGCGGCGCGGTCGCTGATTGGTGACCCGTAGATCATGTGACCGGCGGTCGATGTGGGGCCGGTGCCGCGGCGGCGGCGCATTCTGGCAGGAGACTCGGGCGGGACCGGAACGTTGTCCGTGTGGTGTGGCTCTCGGAGTCGGACTGATGTGCCGGCTTTTGTCCGCTCGCTCCGCGGCAATGTGGTCAGCGCAATTTACTGCACGCTGAGAATGGGACTGCTGTCCTGTTCGAAGCCCACCAACTAAATTGCGCCGAACAGCCAAAATCTTAAGAGGTGGGATTGCAGTCCTGCCTCTAACATCAACCTCGTTCGGCTACCGGTACCCGACGCCTGGCCATGTTAATATAAGCTATATTAACATGGCAGGCCCCCATTAGGGATTTACTTACATTTCCTCGGCAATTATTTTGCATACAAACGGCCTCACCGTGATTCAAGGAGGCAATTTACGGGTAGCGACTGCGCTCATGTCGCATTCGAGTCACATTGTAATCAAGTCATTGCATTGCACAGTTTTGTTTGTCTGTTTGCTTGACCATATCGTGGCAATAAGACGTGAGGAGCCAAATCCACAGTCTTTTGGTTAGATTTGATTTGGACAAAGGCCAGAGGCGAGAGGGGAATCGAACAGTCGGGCTGAGTTCCTGACATAAGTCCTCCGGGCCGGATCGTCTTTTCTTTCGTTGGGACTTCCGTCTTGGCGATTGGACTGGCTTTCGTTGGGACTTCCGTCTTGGCGATTGGGCTGGCCTTCGTTGGGACTACCGTCTTGGCGATTGGACTGACTTTCGATTCCTACTTTGCTATTATTCTCCTCTCGTGAAATTGAGGTTTTTCCGCTTGATCGGATTGATGTCCGGTTAGATGGTTTTGCTATAATTTGTTTTACATACAGTCCGCTTTATATTTAAAAATTTAAGTTGAATTTTGAAGCCTGTCACATCATGGATGAACTTTTGAGTACGAGAACAAAACTTCGTTCAAAGGCCACGAAACTGTGCAATGAGCTACGAACTTACCGAGAAGGTGATCGTAAAAACTTGGACCCAGACCTACTTGCCCTCAAGCTCCACCATGTTCAGAAGGTGCAGAGCGAGCTGCACAGCACTCAGGCTGAGCTCGACAAGCTAGGGCAGGCAGATGATTCTGGTCACATGCAGACCATGGAGGATGAGGTGTTTCTTGGCTCTCGCCTCCTCACCCGCCTTGAAAGGGCTGAGGAAGCCAAGGAAAGGGCTGAGCCACCGACTGTGTCGGGAAACGCTGATTTTAAGTCTTCCATCTCCGTGAAAATTCCTACTTTTCACGGGGACATTATGAAATGGTCTGAGTTCTGGGAACTATTTGAAATCTCGGTCCACAACAATCCTGGCTTCGCGGATATCCAGAGATTTGTGGTGCTCAAATCGCACCTGGCTGGAGTCGCACTCAAGTGCGTGCAAGGCATTCCCGTCTCAGGTGGCGGGTACGCTGAAGCTGTGTCAGCTCTCAAAGAGCGCTTCAAGCGTGATGACCTGGTTCGAGAGACCTTAATGAGAGACATGTTGAGCATGCCGTCGGTCCCACAAAATGACCTGAAGGCGATGAGATCTCTCGTAGATCATTTGATGGCGCATACTCGCGCGCTGAGTACCCTGGGAGTCAGTTCTGACAGTTTCTCTAGTCTGATGCTGCCGGTCGTGAGAGATAAAATCCCAGAAAGCTGGCGTCTCGAGTGGGCCAGACGAGAGAGCAGCGACTTCTCCGAGTTTCTGGAATTCCTGCAACATGAGATGCGAATCCGAGAATCGGCCAGGGGAGGCAAGGCTAGTGCCGGTTCATCCGACACTCCGATCTCGGCGCCGTCTGCTTTCAGGAGTCTGCACGCCCAAAGCATGGCGAGCCCAGGGAAAGAGCCCGGTGCGCCTGTGTGCGGATGCTGCGGGCGCGGTTCCCACCGGCTGGACCAGTGCACTGAGTTCCAGGAGCTCTCAGTGGAGGCCCGATGGAAGAGCACCAGGGCTTCCAAAGCCTGCTATCAGTGCCTCGGGACGGGTCATGTGGCCGGAGTCTGTCGTGGCGACTCGTGTGCCATCTGCGGCAGAAAGCACCACTCGCTGCTTCACTTTGCGAATGCTGCCCCACATGAGGAGATCGGTGAAGAGAGGCCCGGGCTGTCGCCCGAGGCTCCACCTTTCTACCCTGTGGAGGCCACAACTGAGGGTGGTCAGTCCGATGCCGAAGCTGGTGACTCAGGTTCAAAGAGCCACAAATGTTACAATGCCACAGGCATCTCTGGAAAAGAAACGTTTTTCCTGACGGCATTGGTTGATGTCGAGGGACCGGAAGGCAAGCGAAAGGCACGCCTCCTCATTGATGGAGGTTCAGACGCCTCCTACATCAGAACTTCTTTGGCAGGGGAGCTGGGGCTCCCTGTAACAGGTACGGGCATGTTTGCCTGTTCCGGCTTCCAGGAACGGACGGAAGCAGCCAGACCTTACGAACAAATTGAAGTGACGCTCCGAAGTCGGTGCGGTGGCGATCCCGTGACGTTAAAGATGTGGAGCACGGAGACCTTATGCTCACCCCTCCCAGCCACCTCACCACCCACTGGGCCTTCCGGACTGCCGGATTTGATGGCCGACGATTTTGACGGTGGGGAGGTGGATCTCCTAATCGGCATCGATTATTTGTATCGTGTCGTGTTGTGGAGGCAGATTGAGATCGGAGAGGGTCTGCGGGCCATAGAGACGGTCTTTGGCTACGCACTTCACGGGTACCACGGCAATGATTCGCTGAATCAGCCCGGTCACCAGAATTCCCACTGTCGTCAGCTGAGACAGGTGAGGAGTCTAGCTGAGACCAGGGTCGGCCAGAATGAGGCCGCCATGGAAGTGGACGGCATGCTGCCTGAGCCACGCTGGAACGAGCCAGTGGGCTGTTCCAGTGAAATGACGATGACATTGACGACGGATGAATACTCATCATCCGATCATGGTTCCGCAAAGGCGCGAACCTCGCAGATTTCAGAGCTGCTGAATGCTGAAAAGACTCACCTGTGTGGTGAGCAACATAAAACATTAACAAACAAAGACGGGGAGATGACTCTCTCTGTCAAGGGGTCAAATGATGACCCAGAGCAAAATGGTGTGGGCGGAGCCGGGCTGTCGCCGGGCGAACACAACTCCTGGGCTGTGGCCCGGAGTCAGGGTCTAGAGCCCTCCTCGTCTCCCCATGGGGAGATAGACACATCTGCTGTGAGCGGGATGGGCCGGAGCCGGAGTGCTGTAGCGCCCCGGCGGTCCCGGCGGTGCCCGTCAACGCCGAAACTGGGAGGCTGCCGGCAGCCATCTCCGAAAAGACGACGTCTTCGGAGCCGCTGGAGGAGCCACGGCCCAAGACAGAGGTGGAGCCTGAGCTGGAGGACGCCTGCACCACCGGCAGCACCGCATCACTTCCCAGCGTTCCCACGCCTGTGGAAGAGGAGGAAGAAGAGGACGTAGCCGATGACGCTGGCCTCCGTTCCAGGAGCCCAGGGCCAGCTGCGGGAGGACTGACGAGGCCCGCAACGACAGCCGCAACCAAGTTCGCGTGCGGCCAGTGAAGTGAAGTGTGCCTGCATGTAAATGTGTGCGCGTTTTTGTTGAAAATGTGTTAACTTTAGAGTTCCCACATTTTGGTGGGGAGAAATGTTAGTATTTGTTATCCGTTCACGGCCGCCGGGCCGTCCGGCTGGCCGCCGCTGCTGCAGCGAGCAGCGCTGCGGTGCAGTCTACCTGGCGGGCGCTCGGCCGCGCCGCGCGGCGCGGTCGCTGATTGGTGACCCGTAGATCATGTGACCGGCGGTCGATGTGGGGCCGGTGCCGCGGCGGCGGCGCATTCTGGCAGGAGACTCGGGCGGGACCGGAACGTTGTCCGTGTGGTGTGGCTCTCGGA